CTTGGGCGGAAGAGGAGAGGGAGATAAGGAGCACAAAGAAGATCTGATAAAAGGAGACAGTGGGAGAGACAAACAGAGGAAGAAGGAAATGGGAGAAGGAGGGGGGAAGGGGGAGGGGGGAGGAAAAGGGAAAGAGAAAAGGAAGAGAGAGAGAGAGAGAGAGAGAGAGGAGAGAGAGAGAGAGAGAGAGAGAGAGAGAGAGAGAGAGAGAGAGAGAGAGAGAGAGAGAGAGAGAGAGAGAGAGAGAGAGAGAGAGAGAGAGGAGGATAGATAGGGAGGAGGAAATGGAGAATGAGAGAGATAGGGAGAAAGAAAGGGAGAATGAGAGGTAGATGGAGAAGGAAAAGAAAAGAAAGAGAAGAGGGAGAAGGAGAATGAAAGGGAAGAAGAGAGAGGTGGAGAGGGAGAGGTAGAGGAAAAGAGGGAGAAGGAGAGAAGAAGAAGAGGGAGAGGGCGAGAAGGAGATATATATATAATATATAATATATAATATATATATATATATATATATATATATATATATATATATATATATATATATGTATGTATATAATATAGTACGGTATGCATTTTATCTTATATATATATATATATATATATATATATATATATATATATATATATATATATATATATATATATATATATATATATATATATATATATATATGTATATATATATATATAATTGTATGTATATGTATATAATATATATATACATATTATATATATATATATATATATATATATATATATATATATATATATATATATATAATATATATATATATATATATATATATATATATATATATATACATATATATATATATATATATACATATATATATATATATATATTTAATATATATATATATATATATATATATATATATATATATATATATATATATATATATATATATATATATATATATATATTATATATATATATATATACATGGCACGTCTATCCCTAAATGCATCTGATTCCTGATTCCAGGAATACGACTTGGGACCTTTTCTGCAAAACCTTTCTGTCCTGAGCTGCTCTCTCTCTCCATCCTTAACCCCCCACCCACCCCCCCCCCCACCCACCATCAGCCACGTCCCTAAAGCATCAACTATCGCTTAGTGCAAATGCATTTACAAAGACACTTCGCCTTCCACCTCACAATTCTAGCCGGAGAGTTGCATTAGTACCTGCCTATCCCCTTACAACGCATTGCACTTGAACTTGTATTCAGCGCTCCTCGGGCAAAGCCGCTCTTTCGGTTTCCATAAAGCATCTGCTAGGGGTAAGGTTAAGCGCCTTTGATTAGCGAGTCTGCTGGCTTTTGCCGTCCGGGAACTCATCTTGCGAGTTAAGACGAGATCCCGGATGCTATGAGACCTTGGATATCTTTCTTTTTTTTCTTTTTCTTCTTCTTTTTATTCTCATCTTTCCATTTTCGTCTCATTATCTTTTTTTATTCTTCTTCGTTTATTATTATCATTATTATTATTATTTATTTCAATTTTTAATCATCATTATATTAATATGATCCATGCTATTATCTTTTGTGCATGATCAACAACATATCTATGGGAGGCAGGTGAAATTCCATACATTTTACTTTACAATCGTGTAGAAGTCAAGTGAAAAAAGGAAAAAGAAAGAGATATATAGCGAGAAACTGGGGTCGAAAGTGATTAAGATTGATTGAGTGCGTGAGAGACTAAGAGATAGAAGGAGTAGGAGGGAGGGGAGGGAGAGGAGAGGAGAGGGAGGGTAAGGGAAGGGGAAGGGGAAGGAGAAGAATGAGAGAATGAGAGAGAGAGAGAGAGAGAGAGAGAGAGAGAGAGAGAGAGAGAGAGAGAGAGAGAGAGAGAGAGAGAGAGAGAGAGAGGAAGAGAGAGGGAGAGAAGAGAGAGATAAAGAGAGAGAAGATAGAGAGAGAGAGAGAGAGAGAGAGAGAGAGAGAGAGAGAGAGAGAGAGAGAGAGAGAGAGAGAGAGAGAGAGAGAGAGAGAGAGAGAGAGAGAGAGAGAGAGAGAGAGAGAGAGAGAGAGAGAGAGAGAGAGAGAGAGAGAGAGAGAGAGAGAGAGAGAGAGAGAAGAGAGAGAGAGAGAGAGAGAGAGAGAGAGAGAGAGAGAAAGAAAAAGAGAAAGAGAAAGAGAAAGAGGGAAGAGAGAGAGCGAGAGCGAGAGCGAGAGAGAGAGAGAGAGAGAGAGAGAGGAGAGAGAGAGAGAGAGAGAGAGAGAGAGAGAGAGAGAGAGAGAGAGAGAGAGAGAGAGAGAGAGAGAGAGAGAGAGAGAGAGAGAAGAGAGAGAAGAGAGAGAGAGAGAGAGAGAGAGAGAGAGAGAGAGAGAGAGAGACAGACAGACAGACAGACAGACAAATAATAATAATAAAAAAATGCTCAGACCAGTTTCATTACCCACAAAAATCCAAGGAGAGGTATCTAAGCCCCCACCACACTGGGTGAGCCTCCACTGATTTAAGAGGGCCATCAGTCAGACATTATTCACACAATCCTGAAGGGCTGCGCTATAGTGCTTATCTTATTTACATGTTTTATATAGTCGGTGAAAAAAACAACTCATTAATCATACCAAAGAGATGGCCAGTATTTATGAGAAAGTTAATAAAATAAGCAAATGATATTCTCGTGGCATTGCTATTCGACGGGTACGGTGCACTTTCATTTTGCATAAAAGAGTATTAATTAATAGGATTATGGGACTATGGAGTCATGCGTCTGTTTTAATGGCAATATGAATATGCTTAAATCTCCATAACTATCTATCTAGATAAACAGATAGATAGATAATTCATGAACAGAAGACTCATTGCATAATCTCCGATGGCCTAGCTACGTATTGTATTACTATGATAAAACTAACGTTAATGAACCTCATACAATACTGTTTGACTCTTAACTGCCTAGGCCTCTCTTGGAAATCCTATCACGGTGTTAAGGTCGTGTCTGACCCGCAAAAGCGGATATTTTACATGGCCTTCTACTAAAACAGCCACAGACGTTTGACAGAAATCCTGAGCTGGATGTGAGATCAACGAGCACCTTGTATCGTTAAGCAATGTTTATAGCGGGTGGCAGCGCCTTTTGCCAAAATCTTACAGCGATGTCTCATTGGCTCAAAGAAGGCAAACAAATTTCCCAAGTAAAGATCCATCTCCTTGTCCTCTTTTCTTGGCGAGATATTGGAAGACGCCAGTCGACGAGTTTTTATCGTTCCTTTCTTCACCTCTTTCGAACAACCGATCTATTATTGCTTCAGCGTCGTCTGGAACATTTACTTTCATTACAAAAGAGCAAACATAATTTGATGATTGCACCTTTGCATTGTTCTGCAACAGTCATGACCACCACACAGTCATCTCGTGCAATAAACGCTGACAAGGTGAACTGGCTCTGGTAAAAGTAGATAATGCTGACCCGACGTCACCGCTCCCTAATGCTTTTCTATTCTCTCTAAGGTTCCGCTGGAGGGCTGAGCTGAACACTCACGCCTCAATTCCATGGCCAGATTCGCTCTTCGTGGAATAAGGACACCCCCCCCCCGCCCCCTTCGCACCACAGTCGCCAAGACAAGAAAAACAAAGCTCGTTAGAAGGTCCTACTGCATCTCCCATAAGAGCGTCGTGATGTGACAGGAACGTGCCACCTACGAGACCTATGAGTGACGGGCCCCTCGCCTACCTTCTGACTGCCGTGGGTAACACAGTCAACCCCGTATTCCCCCCACGCCGCCCTCACCATGGTCGTCCTCAAAGCCAGGAAATAGACCTTCCTTCCCCCCGCCCGCAATGTATGCAAAACTGTTGAACGCGACAAACAAGGGCAAAAACTACTTTAAATATCATTACCTCGAATTGAAGATCTCTCTGAGGAATGGGTAAATATTTCGCTTTAATTATGCCGTTGGAATTTGTATCATGCAAATGCAATATTTAATGTTTTCATGCCAGAGATATTTTCATAGCGACTGCTGAAATTCCTGGTTGTTTTAGTTCCTGATGTAATAACCTAGCAAATTTGTTCATCAATAGAGTTAGGAGGGAGGGAAGGAAGGAGAATATATATATATATATATATATATATATATATATATATATATATATTATATATATATACATATATATATCATACATGTATTATATATACATATATGTACACACACACACACACACATATACATGTATATATATAGGCACACAAACATACACACTCACACACACACACACACAAAATACATCTAAGTATGTATATATGCATGTATATATGTGTATATATGTATATAAATGTATATATATATATATATATATATATATATATATATATATATATATATATATATATATATATATGTACATGTATATATTATATATAATATATATATATATATATATATATATATATATATATATATATAATATATATATATATATATACACATATACACATATATACACATATACATATATACATATATATGCACACACACACATAAAAAATGGCATCCTTTCCAAATAAAACTCGCATAATTTGCAATTATCATGAAGTAAAATGAAAAATCTATGGCAATTGCAATAGTAAAATCTCCCTTGAGTCGTCCGACATCCTTGGCCCGTCTCTCCAGCCCCGTGCGATGGCCTCCTGCAGGCGGGGAATTGACGGGTCGAAATGGTGCCCGTCTGTTCCTTGGTGTGTGCCCTCTCAGTCTCCATCGGATTCGTGCCCGGCGAGTTTCCTGGCCACTCCAAAACATGACTTTTACTCTCCTGAAGAAAGTCCTCGACTGTTTTCCGCCACGACATGGGGCGCTGCTGTGCATAAAAGCACCATCTGGCTGATGAAGGTCTAAGAACGGATGCATGAAATCCTTCAAGGCGTCCAGGTAGTTTTCTGACTGCATGGTCGTGTCCTTCGGTAGGAAAACAGCTCACCTGCATATTTTAGCCCCAAATGCTCCGAACCATCACAGAAGATGGATATT